CTTGTGTTTGGGTATTGCACCACCAAGAAGCTATCAGGGTCTTGCATATAGACACTTGCTATGAATTAAGGAAAAGGATTACTAAACTAATTTGCATCATGATTATTATCTGACTATATCCCCTCTTCCCAGAAGTTTAGAATATACCAGTGAAACCACTTTAACCTAATGATCGTTTCTACCACTAGAATTTTTGACCATCTATCAGCTCAGTTGATGGCCCTTCACTAAACAAACCTCCTTAGAAACTAGCAACTTCATGCACAGTGACAGTTGAACATTTTAAGTTGTATGATGAGAAATACATTTGGGTTCTCCCTTATTACACTCAAATCGTGGAAAACAGAATAAATCAATTTTTAGAATACTAGCCATGGCATCTTAATTATTCATAGTTCATGTTAACCAATATGGCTTTCAGCCATTTGTCTGACATCATTGAGCAAGTTATGGTCAACTCTTTAGCGAATCATAACTTTAACAGAATTCACAAAAAGTTCTGCAACTTATTTGAGCCACATAATAAGTGAGAATCAGAAAAGTTCTGCCTTGCTCCATATTCTTTTAAGTTACATATCAGGACATCTCTTTATTGATGGAGGCAGAGAATTCTTCTTTCTCACAATCGCTGCATGATCAATCTTTTGAAAAAACATTATCCCTCCATTCTGAACTCCACTGGGTCATTGGCCTGGGATGGTAGAAAACATTTTATAAAAGTCTATAATTTATTCTCATTCTCAGGTCCCTGCTTTCTGTATTTAAATTAATGGGCTCACTAAAGCATACAAAGCTTTTTAAATAAAACAATGAACCCTGAAACAGATTTCCATATCAAAGGAACTCCCTGGAGTCTAAATGTCAGACAAAAGCAGATTTCAGAGAAGATTAAGCAACTATGAGAGTGTGTTGTTCCCTTCCCATCTGCTCGGCCCCACTCCACCCCCTGCTGTGAATTAGCCAAGCAACCTCTCCCAGAAGGTGCTCAGTGGACTCCTATCCTGGTGTCCACCAGGAGGGAGACTTTGACTTGTGCAGATCCTCACTGCCATTGGTGTGAACCCTTTACAGAATCCTCAACAGCACGTGTCCGGAGGCTTCCTGCCKTGCCCAGATTCTGCCCTCTTTCTCCTTAGATCTCTCACCACCCAGATACCTCTTCAGGCCTGCCCTCCTCAGCTTTCTCTTCTCTGTTCCTCACCCCACTCCACTCTCCTAGCTGGCAACTTGAAGAGCAAGCTCTTGAAACCTTCTTTTCTTTCCTTTTTTTATTCATTCTTCTTAGTTCTATGAATAAAATAGAATAAAGTATGGCAATAGAATATGACAATAGAATAAAGTATGGCATAATTATAAAAGTCCCCAGTATTTCCCCTTCCCCTCCCTTCCTCCCACCCCCTGTTCCCCTTCTCTCTACTCTACTGATCTTTCTGTTACTTACTTATGGTTACTTTTTAAAAATTAGTGTCTTGGGGCTGTACATGATGTTGAGATTCACTGTGGTATATTCACATATGTATACAGGTCAGAGTCATTCCACTGTCTTTCCCTATCCCATTCCTCCTCTCTTCCTTTTCTTCCCCTTTGTCGACTCATCTAGTCTTACTTTTATCCTTTTTTTTTTTTTTAAATCAGCACCCTTATTTTGGATTAGCTTCTGCAAATCAGAGAAAACATTCAACCTTTGACTTTTGAGAATTGACTTATTTCACTTAGCTTGATAGTCTCCAGATCCATCCATTTACCAGCAAATGCCAGATATGTGGATATCTTGGCTTATCTTAGGTGATCACCATCTGGGCTTTTCCGAGAACTGTTTCCACAGAGCTTTTCTGTAGTATTTTCCTGACTTTAGGACTACAATAGGTCAGAGATTAAGTTTCAGAGTCAAATGAGGTCCCAAGTAGAATGAGATTGCTTAGGTCTTTCAGTTCTATAGTGAAAACTACAAGCACTGTTGAAAGAAGTTAAAGAGAAGTTTTTTAGAAGTAGAAAGACCTCCGGTATTTATGTTAGGAAGAATCAATCACGAGAAAAGGTCCACAGTGCGTTCCCTATCAAAACACCCAAGATAGTGTTCACAGACTAGAATAAGTAATTCAAAAATTCATATGGAAACAAAAAAAATAGTCAAAGCAATCATAAAATAATAAAATAAAATAAAGCAGGAGGCATTGCACTCCCTGACTTCAAAACATACCAGAAAGCTACATCAGTGTTAACATCCTACATTGGCATAAGATAGGTGGACCATTTTATGTAGGTGGACCAAGGCAACAGAACAGAAAGCCGGGAAGTGAGCGCCTGTACCTCTGTGCAGATGCACATCTGTATGTAGAGAATGAAACTAGACCCTCTCACCAGACAAAAAAAAAATCAACTCAAAAAAAAAAAAAAAGACATAACTTATAGGACCTGAAACTACTAGAAGAAAATGGGGAATATTCCAGAATGTTTAGGTCTTTTTATATAAGACCCTAAAACAGAAGCAAAGAGAGACTAATGGGATGATGTCAATCTAAAAACTCTGCACAGCGAAGGAAATAATCACCAGAGTAGAGAGAGAAGCTACAGAATGGAGGAAGTATTTGTCAACTGCACATCTAACATGGGGTTAAAAATTAGATATTTCTGTCTGACTTTAAAGAAATATTCTACAGTAGTTCAAAGCCACATTAGTTGAGGTCAACCTGTAATTCTCTTGGTAGGTTCAGAAGTCAATCGCAGCCTACTAATTACATTTTAAATGCACTGAAAAGAACACCACATTCAAAACCAGGAGCTCTGTGTTCTCCTGTAAGTAATTCAGCTTCCTTCGGCAAGTTACTGATTTCTTTGGGCCCCGATGATGCCTTATTTATAAGTTGAGATTGTTGTCATGTTTGATGTCTAAAGTCTTTTTTAATATTAAGGTGTTCGGTTCCATGTTTTTACTTCCTCCCCACCTCCTTTTCTTAGAGTTCCTCTATTATAAGCAAAAACTTTCACTTGAAAAAAATRAAAGATAAAATATGATTATGAAAAATCAAGGGCATTTTATCACTATCACAGTTTCCATTTTGCAAATGGAATATCATGAATTTATTAATTAGCCTGCACAGTAAATCTCCTGTAATAAATGCAACAAGAAGTTTTTTTAAAAAAAAAACGAGTCAGGCTGTTAGGTGAAGGGAGGATCTTATTCCTGGGGAGTGGCAGACCCAGCATTAGCAGGGGGGTACAATTTCACCCTTAAATCCCAGTAATCRCATTCCTTAGCTAAGGACATTAAACGAGTTAGTATTTCTAGAGTTTCGGTGGCCTCATTGTAAAGTGGGAACAATAGTGATTTCTACACAGGATCAGTATGTAAATTAAGTAAGATAATGAACAAAAAAGAATTCATAGCATATGTACGGCTCTCAATTTCGTCAGAGAGTGGATGTTATTTCTCACTTTCAAGTTCATTCGGTTTCACTACAGCTTTGAGGAAGGAGTCCCCTGGCTTCAGGGAGAGCAAAGTGGCTTACACAGTGGAGACTGAAGTCCTCACGGTGACAGCACGTGAGATGCAGTCTGATCTGATATCCCCYGCGTGGATGAGCAGGCCCCAGGAGATGGCGTTCACATTTCCCTAAGTCCCACCTTCCTGCAGAACAGCGTCCCATCCTCCCCTCACCCCTGCGCCCTCCCACTCCCCTCCTGGTATCTAGTATCAGTGATGAACTCCTCGTTCTGATCCACTGAAGAAACAGACCATCAGAAGRGCAAGCTCCCGACTGTGTCTGCCACCTTCCTGTGCCCAGATCCTCTGACTGCTTCAGTGACCGTGGCTGAGGGGCCATGCTCTCAGGGAGCAGCAACATCTCTACCACAACACGAGGCCCCAGCCTCTCCCCTCYTCAAGGACCTCACAGCAGCAGGCAGGGTCCCTCCTTCATCTTCCCTCCCCTCCGTCCTAGAGAATGTCCACAGGCGAGGAATCCAGGTCTAACTTCCTTCATCTACAAACATGTCGTGTTAACTCTCTGAAGTTCAAATCCCGCTCCAGCAACCTCAGTGGTTTTCAAAATGTTCTCCAAGAGTTAACACGGACCACCATCCCTGTCCTTCTCATCATTCTCTCTAAGCCACCCCTTCAGGGTGACAACACATGGCTCATATATTCRTGGTGATGCTGGTGTATAAAAGCCTACTGCACTGCCACTCACATCAAAGTATAGCCATATAATTAATGTACAGTATTAATGCTTGATAATGATAGTAGGTGGCTATTCCACTCTCACATTTACTCTGTAGTGACAGCAAGGAGCTATTTCTGGGTTCCTGGAACTTGGCAAGTCATATATTTGTATCATTATTTTAGAGCGTGCTAGAATAATGATACAGAGTCTTTTGTGACCCTGTACACTGAGTCACTCCAGCAGCAACCTCACCCACCTCTGGTTTATGGAAGGTCACCCTACGATGTTTGCACCCTGACCAAGTCACCCAGGATGCCTTCCTTGGGTTCCCCATTGCGGAGGGATGATCCATCTACWGGTATTGGAATGCTATGCAGAGATTTTTGTCTACTATCAAGTCAACATCTCCAATGCCCAGAACCATCCCTCACACATGGGTAGACTCTCAGTAGCTACTTGTATTGAAAGTTATTCATGGAACCATATTGTCCTTTTAGTTTATATTTTATTTTCAAGAACCCGAGTCTCATAAACGAGTTTCTGAGACTCTAGACTCCTCTGACTTCCTGGGGAGGATTTCCTAGCAGCATGTTGAGACCAACTTAAGACATGTCCAGTTGCGATCTGCAAACTATTTTATAGCCATCCACGGAAAGGGAGAAGGGACCTCACCATTAGTCAAATGACCTTTTGGTGATCAGCCCAGTTCTTGGCACCCTTGACCCCTTGATGGTCACACTGGGTGGGTTCTCCCACACAACTCGCCTTTCATCTGCCTACGGTTTCAGCTGAAGCAACGTTTTCAAAGTTGACTGAGCGGAACTCAGAAAGCCCTCGTTATTCCGTGGTGGCTTTGGGGTAGTCTYGCTCCATGCCCTTCTCCTTCAGCTTGACGATATGGTCAGTCCCTCTCTAGAACGCAGAGCTCCATGGTCTGGCCCCATGGTCTTCATGACACCAGTCTCTCTTCCCCGAGTGCTAACACTGTGCCCGCCTGTGCCCAGCAGTCGGTAGCCAGTGTGTGGTGAGCAGCTTGGAGGGAGGGTCCCCTCTTCTCTTTACCTCTTGGTGTGGACTAGTCGCAGTCAGGTCTGGGTGTTAAGTTTAATTGTTGGCTTAGATCTTAAAGTCATATCTGTAAAGTCACATTGTCTCTGCCTATGACTGTTCCAAAGTATTTGCAAGTGATTAGTAAAATTAGGAATTATTAGGAAAACTTTGAAAACTTTATCTTTGGAAATATGTGCAAGCTTCTGGAAGACAGAATCTGTGGCTCCTRTCCGTCTGTCCTGTGCAGGGTCTAACACCACCAGTCCAAGCATGCTATACTCACAGATACAGAGACTCAAATGGGAGTTCAATAATTTGATTATTTTATCTTAACTTTATCACTCTCGCTTGTTACTGTGACTGAAAGTGTTCACGGCAACCTTCATTTTTCTGGTAAAATTTGGACCACTCCTGGTCTCCATAGTGTAAACCCAAGACTGCTTAAAAGCCCCAGAGTTCCCTGGTTATTTGTGGACTATCAAATGCTGGGAGCCAGGGTCATATTAAAATCTGAGATGGCTGGGACATCCATCATGTTTTTCATCTGAAAGTAGAAAAGAAAGCAAGGGCATCTCTGTGATCTGCYCATTCAGGGCCTGCAGATCGCACTCACCCACAAGTGTACCTTCCGGCACAGTTGGATCTCTGTGTGCCTGGAGTGGCAGCACTTCACTGCTCAAGGGTCAGAGGCCAAGGAGGCCCTCAAGCCTGTGCCAGGAACTCCCCACTGCTAACTTTGACACCAGGGAGAGTTTCGGAGGGTACTTGGGCACCCAGAGATTCCCTAGGTCAGAATGCACACATTGGATTCAGGTTTGAATTAACCCCTCCAGCCAGGATGAAAGAAAACTGATACTCGGAGCTTTGGCTTCTATAAGGCACTTAGTCATTCAGTTTTAACAATCAGTGTTATGGCTATTATTGAGACATTTTAGAAATAAAAACCCGAGACTCAAGAGGGAAATTTAAAGACAATCAGCAAATGGTGGAGCTTCATGCAAGCTCAGGTCTCTTAGAGAATATGTTTATAAGGTTCTACTATTCCATCCTCTCATTGCTGAGTAGCACAGAAAATACCTTTGTCATCAGGCTTTAGTTTCCAGGGTATACAAAGAACTCAGAAAACTTAACACCAAAACAAACAAACAAACACCAACAAAAAGCAAAAAAAAAAAAAAACCAAATAATTGAATAAATAAATGGGCAAAGGAACTGAACAGACCCTTCTCAAAAGAAGAAATACAAAGGTAGAAAGATATATGAAAAAAGGTTCAACATCTCCAGCAATCAGAGAAATGCAAATTACAACTACATTGAGATTTCATCTCACTCCAGTMAGATTGGCAATTATCAAGACGATGAGTAACAATAAATGTTGGTGAGGGTGTAGGGAAAAGGGTACACTCAATACATTGCTGTTGCAACTGCAAATTAGTGCAACCACTCTGGAAAGCAGTGTGGAAAGTCCTCAAAAGACTAGGAATTAAATCACCATTTGACCCAGTTATCCTACTCCTCAATATATATCCAAAGGACTTAAAATCAGCATACTACAGTGATGCAGCCACATTAATGTTTATAGCAGCTCAATTCACAATAGCTAAGCTATGGAGCTAACCTCAGTGCCCTTCAACAGATGAATAGATACAGAAAATGTGGTATATATACACATTGGAATATTACTCCACCATAAAGAAGAATGAATTTGTGGCATTTGCCAGTAAATGGATGGAAATGGAGATTATCAAGCTAAGTGAAATAAGCCAGTCCTCTCAAACCAAAGGCTGGATGTTCTTCCTGATGTGGGGACTGTAATACACAATAAGGAGGATGGGGTGGGGAAGAATAGAAGTTCATTGGATTAGACAAGGAGGAACGAAGGGAAGGAGGGTTGGGAATAGAAAATACAGTAGAGTGAATTGGACATCATTTCCTATGTTCATATAGGAATACRTGACCAGAGTAACTCCACATCATGTACAGCCCCAAGAACGGGAAGTTACACTCCATGTATGTATAATATGTGAAAATACATTCTACTGTCATGTATAACTAAAAAGAACAAATAAAAGAGATTCTCAAACTTATGTTGAAAAAATTAATGCTAGGCAGGTTAAACTCCAAGGAAATAAGCATCAGACTGAAACGGACAGCCGTGTAGTGCTTTGCTTCAGGATCCCCTTCTAGAGCAGACCTTCTATAATTACACGCCCGCATCTGGAACTGGCTATTTTATTACATGGAAGCCATGGCAGAGAAGGGCAGGAATCATTTTCCCAAGAGTATATTTCTGTCTTGAATTATTATTKTTTGTCCCTCGAAGGTTCTTATGTTACATTTTAGTTAAGAAGAACTGAAAGGAGAATTTGGAGAGCAGAAGTAGAGAGCAGAGTAGAGACCTCTCAAAGAGCTCTGTAACAGCACTGCACACACACCCATGGGGAGGGGCGGGCGAACACACACACACACATACACACACACACACACACACACACACACGGGCCAATGAAAAGAGCAAGGAAAAGAAAAATGGCGCTATGGAAAAATCAAGAAAATCTAGACATCACCTCTGAGATCCGACAAAATGAACACAACCCCTATTAGTGACCTTTACTAACATCGTCTTTCGCTGACTGAGCGCTTACTGTAGCCCGCACACACAGCTAAATGTTAAATCCTCCAAAGCTTCCAAAAGATGACTGTGCTTCCTCCTGCGCTCGTGAACCTGGGTCCTCCTCTGTGCAGTGGGTTTGGTGTTGCTGGGGTTTCTCAGACCAGCAAACCAATAGCTTTGCAGTACCACCCAGGTCCTAAGTRAGCATAAGGGTTCCATCTCAATCTCTCCTGCAAGGTCCGGGTTTGGTCAGAAGACCACATCGACCTCTTGCAAAGGTACATAATCTTTTTGTTAAACCCAAACACATTTCTCCTTTGGAAACTTCTGATTCAGACCAGTTAGAAATGTCATTTGAGTAACTGGAAAAACAGAAAGGTGATGGGAGCATATATATCTAAAGAAACACAAACCTCATCAGCACCAGGATCGATGTGTGTCCRTTTTTCTAAAATTAGCTCCAAATCCATTAAGGTTGTTAGGTAGTGAAAGTTTTTTCCTAGCTCTAAAATGTTCTGTTCCTAATAATAATAAATCTGACTTCAACCACGCGCTCTGTAAGAAGCACTYTCAAAGAGTAGAATTACTGAAAGAGCGTTTTTCAGTAAACCCAGTGAAGCTCTCTCTAATCTACAGACAGAATATTTGGGTCCTCTGTTTCTATGAAGCTTATTTTAACTTCCCAAGTGGATGCAAAACCAAAACAAAACCAACAAACAATGTAGYCACTTTTTTCCTTTGGAGTAAGAATGGTGGATTTGCTTTACACCTTTGTTTCCTGTGTGTACATCCACAGGTCTATATGCAGATACATTTGATCCTAGAGAGTCAGTTAACTCAGAAACTAGTGGATTTCTGGGATGTACTCCAAAAGAGAATTTCAAGGACTTTACCAGCAGTATTTAGATCTACTTTTCTCGTTAGTATTGATTTCATGGGTTTGCTGTTAGATTTCTGTGGGATGCATAAAAATTATTTTCAAATTTCTGAAGATTTAGAACTTTCTGAATAAAATTTAAACATATTACATACCCTGGACTGAGAGCAAGGCTTGGAGGTGATTTRCAATAAGGTGGTGGTTGGGGGAATCCAGAGGAGTGTGCCTAACTGTAGGTAGGAGTCCCAGGACCTTGGAGACTTAACCCAGCCTAGCAAAGCTGGAGACTTCGGTGAGTGTATTTTTACATCCCAAAAGATTAGAGTGAAAATCCAGGGTCTTTTTCATTCTGTCTGAGAGGAGCAAAGGCTGTTCCTCCTTCTTCTGTTAAAAGTAAAAGAAGCACTGGGCCTTCTCCTAGATGCAAGCAAAGAAAACCCAGATCTCCCCATCCCTGCTTAGGGAGTGTCTGGCCCTCTCAAAGGGGGTCTTCCCATCTGGCTGTCAGTGTGTCATCCCAGGGTAAGAGCTGCCACAAGGGGGCAGTGTTGTCATTATGAAAACACTGGTAACTAACCTCACTCTCATCCAGGACACCTCTTATGCATATTAGGAGTAAAAGTAATAATAATGAATATTAAAAACCCAAGGTTCACTTTTCTTCTTCTTTCATATTTATGCTTTATTCTTGCACATCACGTGCCATTGTGAGTTATCTTTTTTTTAAAAAAATGTTTATTCTTAAGTTTTAGGTGGACACAATATCTTTATTTTACATTTATGTGGTGGTGAGGATCGAACCAGTGCCTCGTGCATGCTAGGGGAGCGCTCTACCACTGAGCCCCAGCCCCAGCCCCTGTGAGTTATCTTAAACTTAAAAAAAAACTATGTACAAATAAGTAGGTTCGTGTAGATAAGATAATAAGTTGGAAGAAGAGATGAAATAGACATAAAAAGACAAAGACAGAAAGAGATCCATAAGTTAAGCAGCGAGCTCTGATATTTATTTGTACTAGTTCTACACTGAGGGATTTTGTTGAAGGTTATATATAGGATAAATGAAGSTAATTTAAATTTGCAAGTGATAAGTTAAATATTTGACTATACTAACTGCAGATCTCATTWATCTTTTCAGATTAAWTGCATAAAAATTTTCCAAATATTCATAGAATTAAAATGTTTCCAAGAAGAATCATTGAGGCCATACATTAACAAACTTTTTAGTATAACCAAATATTCTCACGTAAATGAGAATTATAATTTTAATTCATTACTCYAGTTTTTATTCATKTATGGGATTTAAAATGAAAAACATAAAACAATTATTAGTCTCTGGTAATGGGTTTATTCTGTATAAKGATCTAATTACTT